ACTGTTCCTGTGTGACGGATACGCAGACTGTCCGAACGACGACGACGAAGCCAATGCCACGTGTGCCACCTGCCCTTCTGCCAAGCCTCTGCGATGTCCTTCTGGCGAGTGTGAGTTGTAGAGACGTTTAAACGAAATGCAGAGATGAAATAGGACTTATTGAGTTGGTTAGTGGACGAATTGGTGGTTTGGGTTATGAAATGGCAATTTGAAGATATAAAGGTCTGGAATAATTGATTAGATTTAAGACTTAATGTTTAGGGTGGGAAGTTGTTAAGGTTTAAGGTATGAAGTTTATTAAGGTTTAAGGTATATGGCTGTGAAGGTTTAAGGTGTGAGGCTACTATTCATGATATGGCTTAAGTGTATTTATCTTAATATGCGTGCGCTGTATATTATTAATTAGACATGATAAACCGAAGTCACATTCAACCATATATCGCATCACTGAATAACCTCACACTGACGTTCGTTCCCCAGGCATTAGCGAGGCGTGGCTGTGTGACCTGACCCCTGAGTGCGGGGACGGCTGGGACGAGTCGAACTGCACCGTTTGCCCCCCCCAGACGGCCTTCAGGTGATTCTTCTCTCTTCGGGCCGGCGGGTGCATGGGGAGGGGGGAGGGGGTGTTCCTAGACACATGGGGAGGTTTATATAAGAATGTGGTGGTGCTTTTTTTTCGCTCGTTCTTTCTTGTTCTTGCTCATGTGTGCTCTTGTCTGTCTCTCTGCCTCTGTCGATCTCTGTCTGTTTGTCTCTCTGTCTCTGTCTGTCTCTCTGTCTCTGTCGATCTCTATCTGTCTGTCTCTCTGTCTCTGCCTCTCTCTGTCTGTGTGTGTGTCTGTCTGTCTCTCTGTCTCTGCCTCTCTCTGTCTGTCTGTCTCTGTCGATCTCTGTCTGTCTGTCTGTCTCTGTCGATCTCTGTCTGTCTGTCTGTCTCTCTGTCTGCCTGTCTGTCTGTCTGTCTCTCTGCCTCTGCCTCTCACTGTCTGTGTGTCTGTCTCTCTGTCTCTGCCTCTCTCTGTCTGTGTGTCTGTCTGTCTCTGTCGATCTCTGTCTGTCTGTCTCTGTCGATTTCTGTCTGTCTGTCTGTCTCTCTGTCTGCCTGTCTGTCTATCTGTCCCTCTGTCTCTGCCTCTCTCTGTCTGTGTGTCTGTCTGTCTCTGTCGATCTCTGTCTGTCTGTCTCTGTCGATCTCTGTCTGTCTGTCTCTGTCGATCTCTGTCTGTCTGTCTGTCTCTCTGTCTGCCTGTCTGTCTGTCTCTCTGTCTCTGCCTCTCTCTGTCTGTGTGTCTGTCTGTCTGCCTGTCTGTCTCTGTCGATCTCTGTCGATCTCTGTCTGTCTGCCTGTCTGTCTGTCTCTCTGTCGATCTCTGTCTGTCTGTCTGTCTCTGTCGATCTCTGTCTGTCTGCCTGTCTGTCTCTCTGCCTGCCTGTCTGTCTCTGTCGATCTCTGTCTGCCTGCATGTCTCTCTCTCTCTGCCTGTCTGTCTGTCTCTCTGTCTCTGTCGATCTCTGTCTGCCTGTCTGTCGATCTCTGTGTGTCTGTCTGTATGTCTCTCTGTCTCTGCCTCTCTCTGTCTGTGTGTCTCTCTGTCTCTGCCTCTCTCTGTCTGTGTGTGTGTCTGTCTCTCTGTCTCTGTCGATCTCTGTCTGTCTGTCTCTGTCGATCTCTGTCTGCCTGTCGCTGTTGATCTCTGTCTGTCTGTCTGTCTGTCTCTCTGTCTGTCTGTCTCTGTCGATATCTGTCTGCCTGTCGCTGTCGATCTCTGTCTGTCTGTCTCTCTCTCTCTCTCTCTCTCTCTCTCTCTCTCTCTCTCTCTCTCTCTCTCTCTCTCTCTCTCTCTCTCTCTCTCTCTCTCTCTCTCTCTCTCTCTCTCTCTCTCTGTTTGTCTGTCTCTCTCTGTTTGTCTCATCTTTCATCTCTCTCTCTCTCTCTCTCTCTCTCTCTCTCTCTCTCTCTCTCTCTCTCTCTTCTCTCTCTCTCTCTCTCTCTCTCTCTCTCTCTCTCTCTCTCTCTCTCTCTCTCACTCTCTCTCTCTCTCTCACTCTCTGTTTGTCTCATCTTTCATCTCTCTCTCTCTCTCTCTCTCTCTCTCTCTCTCTCTCTCTCTCTCTCTCTCTCTCTCTCTCTCTCTCTTTCTGTGTACGTTTATAAACAATAAGGACCACTTCTCTACGACCCACGCGTGCATTCCAGGTGCAACGTTACGGGAAAATGCCTGCCTTTAGTATGGGTTTGTGACGGCCAGAGTGACTGTTCCACCAAGCAACAACAGGTGAGACATTACAGATTGTTTATGTAAGAACAATTATTTTGAAGTAATATAATTATTGGTTTTATTGGGAAAATATATCTATGTATATATATATATATATATATATATATATATATATATATATATATATATATATATATATTTTTTTTTTTTTTTTTTTTTTTTTTTTTTTTTTTTTTTTTTTTTTTTTTTTTTTTTCAAATTGATGCTCGTAATTAAGAAAACCATATGTAAGAAGTGCATATCGTTGGCATGGTCACAGATTTGCTATCTTCTGTCTGTAGTTCCACTGTAATGCAAATTAAACTGAACTGATACCGGGTATAACACGCTGCACACACGCACGCACGCACGCAGACACATACACTTTTTCATCGTTTCTTTCCTCCATTTTTACATTCAGTTATCAGGTATTTTATTCATTCATTAATTCAAGCGAATTGGTACAAAGACGTTTTTAGTCATTCAGTCTTTCACTTCCTCCTTTCCTTCATTTCATTTCTTTTTTTCTCTCTCTCTTTTCACTTACTTCTTTATGACACCGAAAAAGCGCTCTTTTTGTAACCTGCGCTCATCCCCGGAACTCAGCTGATGCAAAATGTTTTATTTGCTAATTCATTCCCTCCTTTTTCCTTCCCTCCCTCCTTCGCTCCTTTCTTCCCTCCCTCTCTCCTTTCCTCACTCCTTCCCTCCTTTCCTCCCACCCTCCCTCCCTCCCTCCCCCCTTTCCTCCTTTCCTCCATCCATCCCTCCTTTCCTCCCTCCCTCCTTTCCTCCTTCCTTTCCTCCCTCCCTCCCTCCCTCCTTCCTTCCCACCCTCTTTTCCTCCCTCCCTCTCTCCTTTCCTCCTCCCCCCTCCCTCCTTTCCTCCCTTCCTCCCTCCCTGCTTTCCTCCTCCCTCTTTCCCTCCTTTCCTCCTTCCCTCCCCCATCCCTTCTTTCCTCCTCCCTCCCTCCTCCTCCTCCTCCTCCTCCCTCCTTCTCCTCCTCCTTCCCTCCCTTCTTCCCTCCTTCCTTCCCTCCCCCATCCTTTCCTCCCTCCCTCCCTCCTTCCCTCCTTTCCTCCCTCCCTCCTTCCCTCCCTCCTTTCCTCCCTCCCTCCCTCCCTCCTTTCCTCCCTCCCTCCCTCCTTTCCTTTCCTCCCTCCCTCCATCTTCCTTTCCTCCCTCCCTCTCTCCTTCCCTCCTTCTTTTCCTCCCTCCCTCCCTCCCTCCTTTCCTTTCCTCCCTCCCTCCCTCCCTCCTTCCTTTCCTCCCTCCTTTCCTCCCTCCCTCCCCTCTTCCCTCCTTCCTTCCCTCCCCCATCCTTTCCTCCCTCCCTCCTTCCTTCCTCCTTCCTCTCCTCCCTCCTTTCCTTCCTCCCTCCCTCCCTCCTTCCTTCCCTCTTTCCCTCCTTTTCTCCTCCCTCCTTCCTTCCCTCCCTCCTTTCCTCCCTCCTTTCCTCCATCCTTCCTTCCCTCCTTTCCTCCCTCCTCCCTCCTTCCCTCCTTTCCCTCCCTCCCTCCCTCCCTTCCTCCCTCCTTTTCCTTTCCTCCCTCCCTCCCTCCTTCCCTCCCTCCCTCCCTCCCTCCTTTCCTCCCTCCCTCCCTGCTTCCTTTCCTCCCTCCCTCCTTTCCTCCCTCCCTCCCTCCCTCCCACCTTTCCTCCCTCCCTCCCTCCCTCCTTTCCTCCCTCCCTCCTTCCCTCCTTCCCTCCCTCCCTTCTTCCCTCCCCCATCCTTTCCTCCCTCCCTCCTTCCCTCCCTCCTTCCCTCCCTCCTTTCCTCCCTCCATCCCTCCTTTCCTCCCTCCCTCCCTCCTTTCCTCCCTCCCTCCCTCCCTCCCTCCCTCCTTTCCTCCCTCCCTCCCTCCCTCCTTCCTTTCCTCCCTCCTTCCCTCCCTCCCTCCTTTCCTCCCTCCCTCCTTCCCTTCTTCCCTCCCCCATCCTTTCCTCCCTCCCTCCTTTCCCTCCCTCCCTCCCTCCTTTCCCTCCCTCCTTCCCTCCTTCCCTCCCTCCTTCCCTCCTTCCTTCCCTCCTTCCCTCCTTCCCTCCCTCCTTTCCCTCCCTCCCTCCCTCCTTCCTCCTTTCCTCCCTCCCTCCCTCCTTCCCCCCCCGTACCCATTCACCCATCCTCCTCCAAGCAGGACGCCTCCGACGAGACCTCCTGCGCCCCGTGTCCCGACTTCAAGCCCAACCGGTGCGCAGACGGGTCGGCTTGCTTCCCTGAAGAGTGGCGGTGCAACGGGGAGAGAGACTGCGCAGATGGCTCGGATGAGGAATGTTGGTGAAAAATTGCAAAAAAAAAAAGTTTCGTCTGAAGGGAAGCTGGATAGTCTAAGAATTAAATGAAGAAAGGAGAGGAAAGAGAGAGAGAGAGAAGAAGGAGAGAAAAGGACGTTGACGGAATGAATAGTGAACGAGAAAAGGGAATAAGAGAAAGACTATTTTGAAGTTTGTGACGTGCAACTAAGCGTAAATTTTAACTAAAATAAAAAAATACTAAATTTTGAAGAAAAAAAAAGACACTTGATTTTTAAAAAGGTACTTAATATTTTAAAAAGATGCTTGATTTTATTTCCAAGTTAGATTCATTCTCCATTTTATCTTTTATTTTATTCCCAAGTTAAATTTATTCTCCAGGAATATCCCACCTTAATTACCGTAAATTTTATATAATTTCCTGGATGTTATTTCAATTTTGTATTCTAACTATAATTCTGCTTTCTAAAACGTTCAAATAGTTT